GTAGCCACTGTTCCCAAGTTAGAGCCTAACCGGGTGTGGCCACGAGTGGCAGTTTGCTGGTGGTTGTGGCTAGAAGGAGCTGACCAAGAGTGGTGTGGACACAGGGTGGCAGTTTCTGGAGCTAACTTGGGATTGGCCTAGCTATATGACCCTGGGTCACTCTGTTAGACTCTCTGAGTCCTCCAATCATCCGGCCTGTCCTAGCTGGTTCCTAAGAGTGCCCTGCCCTCTGGGACAGTGATGACAAGAGCCGACATCACTGAACACTAGTCCTGTCCCAGACTGCGTCAGGCATCTCACAGGGACAGAGGTCGTGTTGTTCTGGATTCCCTAAGCCTCGGTTTCCCCTTCTGTTAGAGAATGCCACTTTGCTGGGCGGTCCATCCCCAGCTCCGTGTTCCTCACTCCAGGGAAGATGCCGCTGACTAGAGGGTGGTGTGATTTCTGGAAGTAGAGTGATGGTCCTCGATGGCCCTTAAGCCCCTCTTCCGAGGGTCCCTGCCAGCTGTCTGGGCTGACACAGGTCAATGAAGGTATCCTTCGAAAGGCCACACTGAATGTCCCAGGCTTTGTGGTCACAGATCGGAGCCCTACCAAGAGGGGCATGTGCATCCTGGCTCCATGCAGGGCAGCTAAGGCTTGACACAGTCTGGCCCCAGAAGGGACCTTAGAGCCCCCTCCTCCACCCTGTGTGGTCTCCCTTAGGAAGAGGGAGGGGCAGAGTTGAGGCACAGCCTCTGCAAGATGGACCCACTCCTGTCCCAGTATCCAGTCAGTACATGCTGCATGGTGCCCGCCTGCTGGGGACCTTCTCCGGAGGTCTCAGCTTACAGACCTTCCCAGAGGGTCCTTCTGGGCCCAAGGCTTCCCCATGGTACTTGTGCCTCCCAGTTATTCTAATAGAGTAGACTGGAGTAGCACACTTGAGCACAGGGAAGCTCCAGATGATGAGGCGGCCTCAGCTCAAGCAGAGAGGGCTCCATCCATCCCTCCCTCGCATGGCGCCTCCTCTGGTCTCCAGGTCCCCTCCTTTCTCTTTCCCCCTGCGCTGCCACCCCCCCGCGGGTCTGGCCCCTGGATAAACATTCTGCCCATGAACAGAACCATCCATTATCCCCCTGACAATTAGCAGCCTATTAAGGATGCCTATGCAAATGAGCACTAATTGACCCGCGACACAGCAGCGCCTGCAGGAGAGCGATGACTCCAGATGGCTTAATGATAGGGGCCCAGGGCCCTGCTTTACAAGTCTCCCTCGTGGGTAAGGGAATGATCTGGGCTGCAGAAGGCAGCCAGCTGCCTGGTGGAGAGGACCCCAGATGGGGACTGTGTGCCTCAGCTGGGTCATCGGAACCGCCGGACAAGACACAGCTTCCTGGCTTGTTCTCTCCTCCGTCCCTCCCTTTCTTCAGTTTCTCTTACTATCCCAGCACGGAGCCTGCAAGCACGCGACCACGCTCTCTCGGACACAAGCACATGACCCGTTACAAACTCTTTCAATCGCAGCCACCATGATGGTGTGTGTTATGCGGCACAAGGTGATGGTTCAGTCCGTGTGTGAGATGTGTGATGATGAGGGGATCGGAGGGACCAGCCCATCTACTGCCTGAGACATCTGTCATGTCCTTGTGTTAGAACACTCAAACCCATTCTCCTAGCTGTTCGAAAAGTGCAGTGAGTTACTGACAACCATGGTTAGCTTAATGTGCAGATGATTGTATTTGTTGAAGCAGCAGTTAGTTGGAAGGCACAGTGCCCCCTGCCCACACTGTCAACACCAATGGGGTTCAGACCCCCTGGACCCCCTGTCCACACTGTCACCACCAATGGGGTTCAGACCCCCTGCCCACACTGTCACCACCAATGGGGTTCAGACCCCCTGCCCACACTGTCACCACCAGTGGGGGCCAGACCCCCTGCCCACGCTATCAACACCAGTGGGTCCAGGCCTGTGGCCCTCTGCACATGCTTCCTTCACAGGGTCAGAAGCTTCTCTCCGTGTCATGTGTTCTGTGGTTCTAGACATCACGTGCGTGACATGTAGGTGTCATTACAGTATCAGCGGGGTTGAATCATCACCCCCAAAGTCCTGAGCTCCACCAGCTTGTTTCCCCGCCACCCCAAGCTGCAGACAACGCCCTTCCTCTTCCTGTCTTTTCCAGATGACCTCGTGGTTGGAATCACACAGTGTGCTTTCTCTCAGGTCAGCTTCTTGCTGGGTAGCAGGAGGCATTTACACCTCATGTCGCTGGATGTCTGGAGGGACCTGGGATATCAGCTCCGGCGGAGGCCTGAGGAGCACCACAGTGCTAGGTGGTTAGCAGGCAAGGAGGCCACTGGGAATAGACCCCTCTCCCCATGGACGTTGAGCCATCAAGGAGAGGAATAATTATTCCCTAATGCTACCATGTACTTTTCCATCCCAGACGGCCCTCCTGTGGTAGGGATGCTTGCAGACGCAATGCTTCTACCACATGGCACCCCAACTCAGGAAAGTGGAAGTTTTTTCTTTTCTCTCTTTCTATCTTTCCAGACACTGGCCAAAAGCCTGGGCCTTCATTCCCAGACAAAGTGGTCTTTCTCACTCTTTCTCTGTCCCACTCTTCTTCGGCCCTGTGATGCTTGTCCTGCATTCCCGGACCTGCCGGCTTCCTTGGACCCTAACTTAAAAGGACAGGGCTCTCTCTCTTCCTCTTTCCCATCTCCCTCCTCCAGGCAGCTGCCAAGATTCACAGCTTGCCTGCCCTGATGTTTTTCTCCCAGACATTACTGCAATTGTCCCCGGGCTTCCTTCGGAGTCTGTTTTAAAATTCTTTTATTAATAAGACTAAGAATCCAAAAGGGACCCGGTTTCCCTGGTAACGTATGGCCTTGAACAGGGACTCCCCAGATTTCCACAGTAACGGTGGCTGCATCAGATGGGAGAGAACGCTAGATCTCAGCTGCTGCCTCAGTTCCCCTGGTTTCCAAAGAAGCTGTGAAACAGAAACTGGCGAAGGGAAACGTATTTATTTGAAGTTTTGGGTAAACAATGGCGAGAACCAAGATTCTCAGTTTTTTCCTCACCTCTGTCTCAGTGCTACACAGAATTATAGGGAAGACGGACAAGCTGGGCATGATGGGACACACTTGTAATCCAGCACCCAGGAGGATCAGGAGTCCAAGGCTATCCTCAGGTACATAGGGAGTTCGGGGCTAGCCTGGACTACATGAGACCTTATCTCCAAAGAGGGATAAGCCAGATAGCTCAGCGCTTGCCTCTCAGCCCAATTTCAATCCCTGGACCCCACAGTGGAAGGGACAGAACTAAGAAAGCTGCCCTCTGACCTCCACAAGCACCATTGCACATGCGCACGTATGCACACACACACACACACACACACACACACACACACACACACACACACGAATAATAGATTAAATTCTAAAAGCACAATGAGATGAAGCCAGGTTCTGTGAGACAATGTCCAGACTGGATGGAGACAGCCCCTGGGAGGCACACTCCTGGGTGAGCATTGGGGACATTCATCTTCCCGGTGGTCTGTGCTGTCGCGAGATCAGAGATGAAGACAGAGGTGGCCCAGACGGGCTCCTCCCCAACACCAGGAAGACATCAGCTTTCACCAGCCAAGTTTCTCAGCATCTATTTGTTGGAGAAACTTTGGTCATAGGTTTAGTTGGTCCCTGGACCTGTCTAATGCCTCCCTCAACTGCCTCTGACCCCCCCCCAGTCAGGCTCTGGGGGGAGGGTAGGAAAGGAAAGCCCCAGATCCTTCCCAGCCTACAAGCTTCCCTACAATCTCCCTCAAGAACGTGGAGGGAGACCCTTTGCTCTCAGAGGAAGGAGCCACAGGGTGGACAGCCTCTTGGTTTCCCTCTCGGCGGGGCAGGCCTACCCCAGCCAGCACCCATCTCTTGCTTGGCCTCTCAACCCCTACGTCGCTTCTACTATTAAAAAAAAAAATAATCTACACGCAGTCACTCAAGGGCTTCCTGTCCCAGGAAGACACCGAGGACACCGAGACCCCAGAGGTCTCCTTCAATGGGGAGGGGAGGGAGGAAGCATGAGAACCCGCCCTCCATGAGGGCCAACCCCTGCCCTGTGCACTATCTCTCCGTGATTGACACACCTCATGGAGAGAAAAACGCAGCCCAGGGACGTTTAGACACTGTAGTGACCAAAGTGTGTGTGGGGGGACATCAGTGCGATAGAGTCCCCTGGCGTGATTTGAGTGAATGGAGACAGTGAGGAGAGGGTTCACTAAAGGCCAGGCAGGGCTGTGGAGGCACCGTCTGTGGGCTGGGGAGCCTCCGAGGTTGTGGGGAGAGACGGGTATGTGAGGCCTGTCGGTAAGGCCTTTAACCACAGCACCTGGAATAAAGGAGGTGTTCAACAAATGACAGCTAATTCTCCTGTACGCCTTGGAGCGGGGTTTCTGTCTGTGAGAGGTGGGAAGAGGGGATGGGAGACAAAGTCTTAGGGAGAGCCACTGCGTGGGGGAGGCCTGGCAGCTCCAGGAGGCAGAAGTGCTTAGGTTCCCCTGAGGACGGGGTTCTGTGACTCAGAAAGACTTCTCCCTCCACCCAGACTCACCCAGTGACAAATAATACAGTACACTGCCCCCTCAGAGACCCAGATTCACACACACACACACACACACACACACACACACACACACACACACACACGGCTATTCCGTGAGTGCATTGGGCGGCCCTTGGTATGAAGCCTGGGGTGAGGGGAGGTCCCTTCCGTTCTCTCCCTCCCCCTCCACTGCTGTTTCCTGGGGGCCTGTGTACCCCAGGTGCTGGGGCTAAGACATAGTGTGAGGGCTTCAGACTTCAGGGTGCTCTCCCGTCTAGTCCTGGAAGGAGGGTGTGGGTAAGAAGTTCACATTCGCGCCCTCCCGCCGACGACGGTGGGGTGGCACAGCCGCTCTCTGCCCCTCCTCCTTTGGTCCCCTGTCCCCTCCTGCCCATCTCTTTCTGTCTTCTGCCAGCCGCTGATGGGTTAAATGTTCCCCGACGCCCACGCAACCACTTAGGGGGAAAGATGTGGGGTGCGATGAAGAACATAGAGGGAACAAGCAAGGAGTCAGCCCCAGAGACACCCTCAATGAGGGAATGGCAGCCGGGACCAACGGTGAGTCCCTCCCTGATGTAGGAAACAGCTTCACAGGAGCGGGGGGGATGGGGGGAGGCAGCCTTGAGCATTTCCTTTGTCTCCCTACACTTCCATTCACTCCTCCAACAACACAAGCAGGGGCGTGGAGAGTCGAGTCACCCAAGGCAGGTGGAGACAGGTGTCTCTCCAAGTCACTGTGAATCCAGGCTAGCGACTGTCCAGGGCCCACACTTGGGTCTAATGATCTGTGATCTACAGAGCTGAGGGGGACCCGCAAAGCACCAGAGTGACTCCTGACTTCCCCTCTCCATGGCACAAAAGTCCCCACAAGGCACTGGCTTCTAGAGTGCAGCATCAGCTCAGGATGCAGCTCGCTTGGTAGAGCGTCTGCCTCGCATGCAGGCAGCCCTGGGTTCAATCGCCAGCTCCCCTTAAAGCAGGTGTGTGGTGCACACCTGTAACCCCAGCACTTGAGAGGCGAAGGCAGGGAGATCAGGAGTTCCAGGTTATGTTTAACTTCATGGTGAGTTTGAGGCAGCCTGGGCTACATGGAGACACACACGGCCTCGAAAAAATTAAAAGGCTAAAATGTAGTGATCATGAAACCTCGGTGAGGTCTGTGCCCTTAGCAGGGCACTCAGGACCCTTGTCTGGCTCCGCCCACTGTTTTCCCGCCTCCTGGCCTGGCTCTTCCTCTGCTGTCCTTTACCCAGAGGGTTGTCTACTTGTCCCAGGCTGGCTGCTCCCTGGGGAAGCCCTCTCCCACCTCTCTCCCCAGGCAGTTGTAGACCCTCCATTGCGACAGGTTCCCCTACTCCAGGGTCGGTGGGGTCCCCAAACCTCCCGACACTTGAAACCCCAATCTGGCACCTCAGTGCAAGGACTTGTCTCTTCTCCTGGGCTTGGGCCTATCGTTCCAAAGCCAGAGGCAGATGTCCCGTTCCTAAAGTCTTAGGGTCCTCACAGCCCACCTGCCACTTACCAGCTGTGTGTCTCAGGATAAGTTAACTAACCTCTCTGAGACTCAGTTCTCAGCTCCGTGAGACAACACAGAACTTCACAGAATCGTTGTGGGAACTAACTCAGAGTGTGGGAGTGTGCGTGTGCATGAGAGTGTGTGTGTGTATGTGAGTGTGCGTGTGCATGAGAGTGTGTGTGTGTGTGTGTGTGTGTGTGTGTGTGCGCGTGTGCGTGTGCGGAGCGGCCCGTGTACGTGATTATTAAACACTGTTAATATGTTGCTGTTCTGTGTCATGGGATACACACCCTGCAGGGCTCTGTCACTGTCTAGTTGACATAGCAACTGTGGAGTGGCCTGCTTTCTCCCTTGGTTGACAAAAACTTCCCTGAAAATGGAGAGTAACTTATTCATTCTTGTGTTCCTAACACACACGGTCAGGATGAACAGATTTTAAATTTTTGAAATTACATTTACTTATTTGTGTGTGTGTGTGTGTGTGTGTGTGTGTGTCTGTCTGTCTGTCTGTCTGTCTGTGGGCATCTTCGTAGCATCATGCCACAGCATGCATGTGGAGGTCAGTGGACAGCTTTCAGGAATCAGTTCTCTCTTTCCATCCTGTGGGTTCCTGGGGACTGAACTTGCGTCGCCTGATTTGGCGGCAATCACCTTTACCTGCTGAGCCTGGCCTGTGCCTGGCCGGGCTGAACAGGAATGTGGGTTGAAGAACAGGAAGTGCCTGGCTGAGTGGAGAGTCGGACGGAAGGATGGGTGCAGGGATGGATGGGTGGGTGGACTGCAGGAAGAAGACAGACTAACAGATGACCGCAAGGACGGAGGGGTGGGTGGGTAAATTAACGGGTGGGTAGATGGTTGAGGGTGATGGACGGACAGACAGAGCAATGTTTGGTGCCACAAGTGCATGGATGTTTATGTTTTGCGTGCCTAGGAGGTGGTCGGTGCAGTAAGCGCTGAGTTTCTGAATGAGTGGGGCGGCAGGCACCGCCTGAAACCGCAGTGGAGCTCCCATGCTGCTGTGTGGCTTCAGGGGCTACCCAGAGCCACACTTCCACTGGTGGTGGATGGTTGGGTCCCCCTCGCCTTGGCTGAGAGCAGCCTGTCGCCCCCTGCTGGTGGTAATATGAAACAGCACTGCCCAACAGTTCATCTACATCATGTTTTTTCTTCTGATGGATTGTCCCAAGCGGGGTTCTCAACTTTGTGTGCCCACGAGCACTCTCCAGGATCGCCTGTGACGACAGAGATGCTAGCTAGAAAGTCAGGACTTCTCATCAGCTCCAGGGGGAACTCGAATTCCTAACCGGGAGCTCATCATACCCTCCTCGGAGAATCCCTGACCAGAGGAAGTAGCAAGAAAGAAATGGACTCTTTTCTTCCGTGGCTACCTCTGAATTGCCAGGCAGTGTCCAGAGTACATGGGAACACGTGGGAAGAGCTGTGGTTTGACCAAGCAGGATGGCACTTACCTGTAACCCCAGCACTTGAGAGGTAGAAGCAGAAAGAACAAGAGCTCAGGGCTAGCCTCAGCTACAGAACAAGTTTGAGTCTATCCTGGGCTACATGAGACCCTGTCTAAAACAAACAAAAAGGTGTGGTTTCAAATCTCACGCTACCCCACACACACACACTCACTGAAGCCCCCACACCCCTCACCTGTAAGACAGGAGAGAACAGACCAGACAGTCTATGGAGGAGGCTCAGCCCTGAGCTGGCCACCCGGAGGCCCTCACCAAATACTGATGGCATGGATGTGCTGCTTCCTAGGCCTGCTTCCCTCTCTAGACGATGGCCTGTGGATTTGATTTCTGCACTAGAACGCACGCCCTCAGGAGGTGTGTTTTATCTCCGCATCTCAGCTCTTGCTGGGACACAGTTGGCCTCCTTAACTCTTCCTTGAGGAGGCGATATGAATGAGTTTGGGCTCAGAACGTCTCTGCGGTTTTCTTTGGACTTAGGGAACCCACCAGCCCATGTTTGTTTGACAAATATATACAAAGCCTGTTTAGAAAGAGAGGAGCAAGCAGCTGGGGCCTGCCTTGTTGGCAGCTTCTACAGACAGATCCAGCCAACCATGGGCAGAACACAAGTGAGGGGGGGGAATGTCTAGGGCTGAGGAGACGGCTCAGTTGGTAAAGAACTGGCCACATAAGCAAAGGGACCTGAGTCCAGATCCTCAGCACTGGGAGGGCAGAGCAGGAAGATACCTGGAGCACACTGGCCAGGCAGTGTTGCCGAATTAGCTGTCAGTATTGGAAAGACCCTGTCTCAAAACACAAGGCGGGTGGGGTGAGGAGCTACTCAGTATTGACCTCCGACCTCCACACACACAAATACTACACACTCATAATACACACACACACACACACACACACACACACACACACACACACAGGGTCCATAGTGAATGTATAGAAAAGTCCTCTTTTGCCGTTATTTTAAGTACAATGTAACAACTCTTGAGCACCGACATCCGTGTTAGGTGTTCCAAGACATGTGAGGTGTTTGGAAACCCCTAGGAGGGTGTGTGCCTAGCCTATACAAACCCTGCCTTTGCGCCCAAGATACTTGAACCTCTCTGGGACCAAATGCCCTATGGATTGTGAGGGACAGATGTACACAAATAATGCATAGGAACTTGTGCTTGAGTGAGGCCAAGCTCTTCCCCGGACTTCAATCCCCTCTAAGATGGAAGCACCCCAGTTCCCGTGTGCCCGGGGGCAGAGACCAGGCTCTGCAGCCCTGGAACCCAAGCCGCCTTCTCTCAAGGTGCTTCCTTCCGTTGCAGTTGGTCCTCAGCCCTCTCTGGGCCTCCGCACACCCCTTTGAGGTTGCTCAGGACCTCTTTACATTCTGGGTTTTGGTGCGGGGGGGGCCTCATGCCCATGTCCACTGCTGTTTTGCAGGTGGCAGCCCAGTGCCCTGAATCTTGACCAGATGGAGGCCTTCCAGCGGGAGTCCCCAGAAGGTGGCACACAGCTTGGTCGCCCGTTGGAGCTGGAGGAGAGGCCAGCATCAGAGCCCACAGTGAACTAACCAGGCTCAACGGACCAAAGGGGGCTTAGAAGGGGCCAAAGTGATCTGCAGCTGCTGGGCTCCCTCCCCTAGTCCTTTTCACCGGAGTTCTTCTTTAGCCACACTCCGGGATGAGGACCGAGATGCGGGAAAAGGAAACCGAATCCTGTAGGTCCCCTTTCTTGGCCCCAGGCAGCTCACGTTGACCTCGGGACTCCAGAACCTCTGTCCTCATTTCCCTGGCCTCAGCCAGCCTGGGCTTGCTTTCTGGCTACAGTGTCTCCTCCGCGGAGGGACCAGAGTACCACGCCCTCCTCGGAGTTGCATTCTTAAGGTGTCCTGGGAAGCCACGCCCTCCACGCCCCTTCCCAGCCATCAGCCCAGGCAGCCCCGAGCCAGTCCGGAATGGTCCTGCTATGGCCAAGCTCTGGTTCAAGTTCCAGCGGTGTTTCCGGTATTTCCGCAGGAAGCCCGTGCGCTTCTTTACCCTGCTGGCTCTCTACCTGACCGCTGGGAGCCTCGTCTTCCTGCACTCGGGCTTCGTGGGCCAGCCCGCTGTGCCCCAGAGCCAGGCGAGCCCTGCCGCGGGGAGCCCAGCCGAAGGAGCCGAGCTGCCCTTCCTGGGCGACTTGCACCTGGGCAGAGGCTTCCGGGACACGGGGGAGGCCTCCAGCATCTCACGCAGATACGGACCCTCATTCAAGAGCAAGGAGCCCAGCGAGAGAGCCAAGCTGGGTGACTACGGGGGAGCCTGGAGCCGAGCCCTCAAGGGGAGGGTTGTCCGGGAGAAGGAGAAGGAAAAGGAAGAGGAGAGAGGTAAGAGCCTGGAGGGACGGGGAAAATACAGGATACAGGACACAAATGCAGAAATATAGCAGCCAGCAGCTGGCTGAGGAGCTCCAGACACAGGGAGGTAGGAAGTCGGCGCTGACATCTGTAATGAGCAGCCATAGCCCTTCGGTTGGTAAGGTCCATTCGAACCCCACACTTGCCTCAATTTAGAATCCCTGTGGTGGCGCATGCCTTTAATCCCAGCACTCCCAGCACTCGGGAGGCAGAGGCAGGCGGATCTCTGTGAGTTCGAGGCCAGCCTGGGCTACCAAGTGAGTTCCAGGACAGGCACAAAGCTACACAGAGAAACCCTGTCTCGAAAAAAACAAAAACAAACAAACAAAAAAGAATTCCTGTTCCCTTTATCACTGCTTATTAAACACACAAAAAAATTCCAGCATCAGTGATTGCAGAGCACTGAATGTCCCAGGATCTGTGGTGAGCACTTGACACATGCAGAATCATCCCCATGGCACTAAACGGCTACCCTGCCTGTTTAAAGACAGGGAGACAGCTGGCCAGGGTGGTGAATACCTTCATCTCTGCCCTGGGGAGGCTGGGGTGGAAGGAGTCAGAGGCTAGCCTGGGCTATATACTGAGACTCTGTCTTAAAGTAAAAAAGGGACACCAGGATCCCAGGATTGATGGAAAATACTTAGCAAAGTGAAGCTATGGCCATGCCAGAGTTCTCCATCTGCCAAGCTCTGTCGTGGTGATAGAGCTCCGGGCACTAACACTGCCCTGGGTAAACGCCTTGTTGCATTTTCTCAGCCGTTTACAGCCAAACGGATTTTGATTACCGGTACATTTCACAGGCTTGAACAGGGCACAGATGAGCGGTGCCTGCCTGATTAACAGATGTGGAAGGCTGGGGGTGTGGCTCCATCCCCAGGCAGGGTAGTGCACACCTGTAATCCCAAAACAAAGGAGGCAGAAACAGGAGACTTGGAAGTTCAAAGCCGTTCTCAGCTACCTACATAGGGACTTGGAAGCCAGACTAGGCTAGAGACCCCGACTCACAAACAAATGGGGCTGGAGAGATGGCTGAGAAGTTATGAGCACTGCCGCATGCTGCTCTTGCAGAGAGGACCCCGGTTTCATTCCCAGAATCCAGTGGGTGGTTCATAGCTACCTATACCTCCAGCTCCAGGGGGATCCTGTGCCTCTGGCACAAAGCCACCACACATACACGTAACTGAAAACAAAATAAATTGAAAACGAGGGAGAACCAGATGTGGAAGCCGAGGTTCGAGAGGTGAAGAGGCTAGCCCAGGGCTGCACAGCTAGTCTCGGTATAACCTGGGGTTCAAGCACCATCAGCCCAGGTTCTCGGCTTTCTCTGAGGGTATCCCCACTCCACTGACAGATACCATGTGACCAGCAGGCTAGGGAAACCTGCCATGGCCACAGCCCTTGAGATTAATATGGGAGGGTGTGCAGGGAACCCAGAGAGGTTAGGGTGAGGATTGGTACCACAAGTCTTTGTGTGGCACTGTAGGATGCCCTTCTCCATCCCTACAAGGCACAGGATTCACAAAGAGACCCCTGCCCCAGTCCCAGCCTGAACCTGGCTCTCCAGGAGACTCCGCCTTCCTTCCCACTCTATGAGAGATCCCAGAGCTCACAGAGTGGTGAGGAGACACCTTACCACCGGTGTGGTCCAGGCAATGGCTCAGTTTCCATGCCTGTCACACAGACCCAATGATGGCTCCCCTCCAGGGAGTCCTGAGAATCCAGTGGGACACGGGTCAGGCAAGGATCTGGCAATACAGCTGGGACAAAACCGGCAGTTAGTGATCAATGTTCAGAAAGTACCCCCGGATCTACTCATAGAGCGGCCAGGTCTTAGCATGGCAAGGCATGAGAGGCTGGTCTGATAGAGAAATTGTTCCTCTTTCCATACTCTCCACTCAAGCTCTGCCTCTGGCCACTCTGAACACCAACCGATCTTTTGAAAGCCCCCTGAGTCCTCGCCAGTCTGCTCCTTAAGCTCTCAGGTCCCTCCTACATTCTACCCACAGTCCTTCTTCCTGTTCGTTGAGCACTTACCTCTCTTTGCTCCGGGATCTCTGCCCTTTCGGCTCATATACTCTTGCCCTACATGTCTGGACAGCTCTCTTCCTTGTAGTCACCACTGAGGCCCTGCCTCCCATGGCCCTGCCTCCCATAGCCAATTCCCAGAGGTCCTAACCAGCTCCACTTCATGCCTGGTGCAGTACACACACACACACACACACACACACACACACACACACACACACACACACACACACACACACACACACACACACACAGCGTTACCCTGATGCCAAGTGCATCACCATCCACAGGCATCTTGCTTGTCCAACCGGGTCTTTGCACTCGGTGCTCCGGTTCGGCAGGGGCGTCCACTCCAGTCTTGGCCCGCTCAACCCGTCAGCACCTGGGACAGCGCTGTGGCTCCTGGCTGCACCCCGTGGACCAATGAGTGACTGGATGGGTAAATGAATGTGTGACTGACTCTCCCTCTGCCAGGAGACCTCCGAGTTTCAGCTTTGTCCACCTCCAGAACACTGTCCCTTCCAAGTCTAACCAAATGCTCTTTTCTGCTCCGTGCCAAGCAGGAGCTCCTGTGGCAGTGGATCTGTGCGATGATGTCCCTGTGGGTTGTGAGAATGAAACCCAGTCAGCTCTCCATGGCTGAGGGTTCATACCCTGGGTTTCAGGCAACCACAAACAACACCTGAGGAAAAAAATACATTTGTAAGAAACATACACGGGATCTCCCCTTGTATTTCCGGCGTTCACACTGCCTTAGGGCCCAACGTCACTTAGGACTGTGGAACATGTGAGGGAGTTCTGTGCAAATACCGCATTTCATACATGTGCTGGGTCACAAGGGATGCTGAGGGACCAACAGATGGCCACTATGGCTGTTGGTAGTAACAATGCCCTTTACTGAGCACCTGCGCCATGCTCAATGCTGTTTGTTTCCTGCTCATGGCTTAGGATGGGGTGATGTATGCGCGTGCCCTCCACCCCCCCTGATTTGTGATGATATGTCACTTGGCAGCTTCCCTGTGGACTGGACCATGTTGGGTTGATTCGCTGCTTTATTTAACTAGCGCCACTCCATGAATCAGAGGCCCTTTTTGGTCCATTTTGCGCACGATAAGACTGAACTCAGAGAGCAACAGCTTCCCCTGGTTCCACGGGTTGTTTGTGGGATAACTGAAGCTTGAAATGGGGGTGACTGACTTCCAAAGCATGGGAGCCTTCTTCTGAATGCTGGGCACTGCCCAGCCCAGCGAGCTTATACCTATTTTATGAAATGCAAAGAGAGAAGGGGAAGGATATAGAAAAGTAGCCCCAAGCTCCCGGCTCTCGGCAGGCAGCGTCATTAGGAAAACACAGATGAAGCCCGTCTGTTGATAGGCTTATTTGGGGTTCATCACCTGAGATCAGCACCACCAAAATCGAAACGCTTCTCTGACCTGACGGAAGCCTGGCTCCCTCCCCAAGCTAGCAGGTACCCTGCTGGATGTGGGCATGCAGGACTTGAACTTCAGAGCCCCTGGGACCAAGAAGGGGAAGGGAAGAGCTGCATCCAGGAGGAGCTGGCGCCAGAGGAGAAGTCGGATCCCTGGATGCAGCCAACACTGGTCAGTTCACCGTGTTGTCTGTCTGTCCCAGGCTTGTGAGAGCATCGAGCATCGAGCCCCCAGACCAGGGCTCAGATCTCAATGCCACAAGTTGTTCTGCACAGCCTTGATCAGGTCACGTCCTATCTCCGAGCTTCCGTGGAAGCACCCAGCCTCAGATGGCCGTGAAACAAACAGAGGGTGCTGAGGAGCCAGACACTGCCTAGAACAGTGTGCACGCATCGCACATCGCTTCCAACCCCACAACAGCCAGGGGGTGGCTTCACGACCCCATCTGACCCGGAAGGAACACAGGAGCAGAGAGGCTGAGCAAGTTGCCCCAGGTTCTGCCCTTGAGGGAGGGAGCCGCAGAGAAGTCACAGGAGTTGTCTGGGTCACACAACTGGTCGGGGAGAGCCAGGGAGTGAGACCCAGCTTGATTTCAAAGTTTCCTTCAGATAACAGGGAGGCTTGGGCCGAGCATGAAGGGGGGACATGGGGAGGGCTGTGTGACCCTGTTCAGAAACAGCAGGGAAGCCCACTCCCCACCTCCTCAGACACTTCTTGTAGAAACTATTGAGTCCCATTTCTCACCGAGAACCAGAGAATCAGAGAAGTTAAACTACCTGCCCAAGGTCACACACACAGCAGCTTAAAAGGCGGAACAGACTCTGTCCCAATTCTCTCAGAATCCAAAGCCTTTATTGCTCACGGTGGAGTGACAGTATCTCTTTCCTAAGCCGTATAACCCAGCTGGGGACACGGCTCAGTTGGTAAACTGCTTTGCACGTGAGCACCAGGACCCGGAGCTCACGTAAGAAAAGCTGGGCTTGTAGTGCATGCTTGCAATCTCAGCACGGGGGAGGCAGAGACAGGTAGGTCCCGGGGGCTCACGGGCTAGCCCACGAGGTGAGTTCCTGTCCAGCACTGGGGAGGCAGAGACAGGTAGGTCCCGGGGGCTCACAGGCTAGCCCATGAGGTGAGTTCCTGTCCAGTGAGGGACTCTGTCTCAAAAGGCAAGGTGGGAAACATCTGAGGAGCAACACTTGATGCTAGCTACAATGTGTACATGCATATGGAAGTGTTCACCCCATATACATATGCACACACACACACAAATACACACATACATGAATGTCCACCCTACACACAAATATGCACACATATGTGCACATACACCTGTGAACATACATATACTCAAATGGTACATATTTTTATATAAATATATATGCACATATCTCCACTCATTCATCGATTCCATTCATAGGTGCCACACACTCTGTCCAGTGTCCTCTTTCAGCTCATTTGGTCACATGATCATCAGCTCCAAATGACATCATCACCTAATCCAGGGACAGTGTGACCATCTACCACAGGCAATATTCTGAGGTGCTGGGCTTAAGAGTCTGGTGTCTCCTCTTGGGCAGGGGCTGTGCATAAGACACAGGTCTTCTCAAGGCACCCCCAGCAGAGTTTCTGATCCCACTTGTCAAGCAGGGAAATGATGTCTCCGGGAGCCCAATTCTGTGGCTAGGTGCCTCAAACCCAGGTCTGGCTGAACTGCACAGCGGGATACCTCAGAAGCCTGTTCACAACAGTACAGAAAGAAGCATGCAAACCTGCAAATGTTCAGCCACCCTCTTAGCAGATGGCCTCCATCAGAGACCGGGGAATTCCATAAAAAATAAAAATAAAATAATGAGAGCAGAAGAAAAAGTGTGAAGAGAGGAGAATTCAGTGCAGTGGAAAGGAGTCCTCACATGCTGGATTCTGGGCTGGACATAAATGCCAGCCTGGGCCCCTTAGATATTTCAGTGGTCTCTGGGGTCCTAGAAATGCTGACAGATTGTGTGAACTCAGCCATTAATCCCCCTTCCTGTGGCCTGTGACACAGTGTCCCTGTTTTACATACCTGAACTCCCCTGCCTCTGAGAGTGTCTGCCACCACAGTGGGATTTGAGCACAGGACCCGGGAAAGGCCGAGCAGGGTCCCAGGGTTGTCCATCACAAGGCTGAGCTCATATATGGCAGTGCTGTGACATTCTAGGGGTCAGGACCAGATTGGCTGGCAGGGAGAAGCCACCTGGTCCTGCCCCGGGGAGGTAGGAAAAGTAACTCAGCTTATGTATCCTGACAGTGACTTCACAGGGAAATAGTATGTGGCAGGCCCGTGTTCTAAGCACAGAGGACCTTGTGTCTTCCTTCTGTTGACAGATGAGGAAACAGACATTCTCATGTTCTTTCAACAAATATGGGACATCTCTGTTTAATGCTAGCCTGGGGACAGCCTAGTAGAGTCGAGCAGCATCTGATGGTTCAGGTAGACCCCTGAATTCTCAAAGCTCTGGGTTACATCCCCCAAACAACACCATACCAACTGAAAAAGGATTCTCTGCCATAGTGAGCATATCATTTCAGATGGAAAGTCTAGACTTGGGGGAGAAGAACTTGTGCTCCAACCCTGACTGTCACCAACCCCAGGGAGTCCTCCCTCTCTGTCCTCCACCCTAGTGTATGAGCAGGGTGGAGAAAACTCCAGGGTCCTGCCTCAGGGTAATATGCCAGAAATGGCAGCTTTGGAGGAAGATGAGCCTGGGCTTGGGTTTGGTCTAAGAACTTCCCTGTGGGCGGCTTCAGCAAGTCAATGAGCTTCAGCATCAGGGTTCTGGGGAGTGTCCGTCTGTCCTGCCATGCGCCTGGACTGCAGAAAAGATCTGACACCTGGGCTTCAACACCTCTTAATCCTCTCCTCCCTCCTCCTCCTCCTCCTCCTCCTCACTCCCTCTCCTTCTTCCTCATCCCCCACCCCCATTCCCCCCATCCTTCCACCACCACCACTTAACCACCCTCCTGCACAGACGGAACTTGGTCCTAGCTGTTGTCGTATTTGGTCTGGCAGAATGCCAGTGTCGTGAGCCAGGGGAGACAGGCCTGCACCCCCAGCTTCAATCTGTAAGAATTCGGGGCATGGGCCTCATGCCCAGTCTTGAGTCCAGCAGGCTGGTGGGTGGGCAGTGCTACCCACCCTAACTGGGTCAGGGAACCCCTGTAGGGAGGCAGGTGAGATCTGCCTATAATCCCGGCACTCAGGAGGCAGAGGCAAGAGGATGTTAACGTCCTAATGACTGGCTTTCCAGTCTGTAAAATGGATCCCAGTGGGGCTGGAGAGATGGCTCAGCAGTTAAGAGCATTCGCTGCCCTTGTAGAGGACATGAGTAGCGCAGTCCCAGCACCCACATAGGCAGCTCACAACCTCCTGTAACTCCAGGGGGTTCAAACCGTCTTCTGGCTTTGCAGACATCTGCACACAAACACACATACACACACACACACACACACACACACACACACACACACACGCACACACGCACACGCACACACGCACATGCATGCACTTTTTAAAAAGGGGTTCCTAAAAAGCTTATGAAATTTGAGTTTCAAAAAGTCACAAAGGCTGGGAGCATGGCTCCATGGCAGAGTGCTGACTGAGTATGTGTCGGATCCTAGGTTTTGCCTGAAACAGAAATAAACAAGCTTAGGCCCCAAATGAAGCAGGTGGGAGACCCTGCCCTGCACCTACAGCACCCTGTCTGTCTGAGATGGGAGGCATTTTGGATGCCAGAAAGAACAAAGGCCAGCAGGACCCTCCGGAGTTGTCACTAGTGATGAGCGGACCTTCCAGACCTTCCACGGCCACTAAAACAGGCCTTATCCTGGGTGAAGTGAGGCTCCTTCTGGGCTAGGGGCATGGCTCCAGGAGCCAGTGTCACCAGGAAACGGCTGTCCCTCCTGTCTTCAGGGCCTGCAGCCTCACCCATCAGTGCCCACTGCCCTGATTGGCCAGCCTTTTCCTCCCCTTGTTTGTGCCCCGAGGACACACTTGGCGAAGCCACACAGCCAGGGGCGTGACAGGGACCTCCTCCTACAGCCCTCCGGCTTCGTCCACAGCTGTCCTTAACTCTTCCTCTTTCCACACAGCCAAGTACATCGGCTGCTACCTGGACGACACCCAGAGCCGGGCCCTGCGAGGAGTGTCCTTCTTCGACTACAAGAAGATGACCGTCTTCCGTTGCCAGGACAACTGTGCTGAACGGTAGTGACACGCGCCCCACCACCACCTCTGCCGTGTCCCCAGACATGTCCCTTCCAACCCTTTCTGCCCAGGCAGGGTCCCTTCTGTGGTGTTATTTGCCTTGCCATGGAGAGAATGCCAGAGGGTGAACAAGGGGCCATGGAAACAAAGGATGGCATGTATGATTGATGTGTGTACATGCTCGTGTGTGTCTGTGTACGTGCATGTATGTGCATATATCCACATACATATGTGTGCACAAAGATGTATACAAATGTGGTCTGTGGCATAGGACCCCAACTGTAAGGACTATGCCGAGGAGCAGGCTGGTAAGGTATGGTACGCATGGTCAGCTGGTTACCTTGGTGAGCGGAGTCCTGGCACCTGACTGTCTCTAAGAAATGGTGTTTGTGTGGCCATAGGTCTTTTCAGTCCTCTTGCCTCAGGCTCCCGGAAGTGGCTGGGATGGCAGACCTGTGCCGTCATGCCCGGTTTTAAACTCTACTCTTTAAGAGAGCAGTTTACAAATGCTCTGTGGACTCCCAGTGCTCCCAAGCCAGGGGTTCAGCTGGCATACAAGCCCCTTCCCCGGCTGGAATCACTGAGCCCTCTCTAGAACAATGCCCCTCCTCCTCAGCCATCATCCCTTCTGGCTCTGAGTTGCAGGCTGTCTCCTGTTTCAGAATCAATAACTTCCCTTTCTTGGGAAAGGTTGCTTCTGTCAGTGGGTTCCATTGTAGGAGAGGGGTCCAGGGAATGTCTGAGACGCAGGCTTAGAGGGATGGAAGAAAGTGAGGTTCCAAGATGCTCAGTCATATCAGCTGCTTTCGCTTCATCTTCCAGAAAGAGCAGGTGGATGGGGCAAGACTAATGCTACAAGTCACCAGGGCATGTGCAGGCACAAACCTGGTTGGCCCTGCCCACCCAGCCAGCACTGAATAGGGACCCAGGAGACAGCTGTTGCCACCGACGGCTCCTCCGGGACATGTTTTTGCAGGTTTCTCTCTTAGGGGCCCCAAGGCTTTGGAGACTGTCTCTGGGAGGGCAGTGGTCAGGGGGCTGGCAAGGACCCCCCTCCTTCCCGGAATCCTCAGCCAGAGCCCACAGCCTCCTTCCATGTGTTTAGACTGGTGTCCACTGCGTATCCTTTTTAGGGAAGAATTCCACGGCAAGGAAAAAATAGCCTAACCTCAGAGCTCCTGGAATTTTGTTTTGCTTTGTTTTCGGGGAAGAAATTTTTTTCTTGGCTGGGTATGTGAGCTTGGTTTTATAGCCTGCCAAAGGGATACAAGGGCCCCTCCTCCTCTTCCTCCTCCTCCTCCTCCTCCTCCTCCTCCTCCTCCTCCCCAGTGCTTCTCAGGGGACCTGGCAATGAGGTGTCTCCTTGGGTGATGCTTCCTGGAATGCAGAGGTTGGGTTCTGCAATGGTGAAAGAAGAATGGGGGAGGGGCGAGGTGGTGGTGATGGTGGTGTGTGTGTATATGTGTACCTACGAGTGAATGTGTGTGTGAGTGAATATGTGTGTGTGTGTGTGTGTATGAACAAAAGTGTCTGTGGGTGTGTGAATATGTAAGAGTGAATGTGTGTGTGCACACAAGTGAATGTATGTGTATGTGAATATGTGTGCGTATATATGTATGAATGCGTGTGAGAGAGAGTGAATGTGCGTGAATGTGTGCGTACATGGGTGAATGTGTGTGTGTGAATATGTGTGTGAATGTGTATAGATGAGTGAGTGTGTATGAGTATCTGTGAATGTGTGGATATGTATGTGTATGTATAAGCGAACGTGTGTGTGTGTGTGTGTGTGTGTGTGTGTACAGAGTGTAAGTGTATGTCATGTGTGAGTATGAGTGTTAATATGGACATGGAGAGTAGTATGGGGGATACAACACATCAGGCAGTGAAGAGGGCTGGTGGGTGTCCCCAGGATGTTCTCCCTGTCCCCAGGGGTCTCTGAATTCCCCCCCACACACACACACAGTGCCTCGGGCCCTCTGACTCCCCACCCTCTGTGACTCCCAACAGGTGACCCTGCCCTTTGGAGTAGTTATGACGCCCATTCCTCCCCCAAGTTCCCGATCCCTCCAACCCTCTTGTCCCCTTTCTGAAGTCTCCTGTGTTCTCATCCCTTGGCCTCCAGGCCTCCTGGAGACTCTGTCCACCTCCTGTTACCCCAAAGTCTCAGGGTCCTATTCCCCGGGGTTTCTCCCACTGCGTCCCCTGTTCCCCGGGGTCTCCCTGTCCACACTGCCCTGCCTGACAACAGCCCTCCCCCAGGGGTTACCTGTACGCTGGGCTGGAGTTCGGCGCTGAGTGCTACTGTGGCCACAAGATCCAGGCGGCCAACGTGAGCGACTCGGAGTGTGACATGGACTGCAAGGGAGAGCGGGGCAGCGTGTGTGGCGGGGTCAACCGCCTCTCAGTCTACCGGCTTCAACTGGCCCAGGAGTCTGCCCGCAGGTGTACGTGAGTTCGCCCCGCCCCTCTGCTGTGGCACGCTAGCCCTCCACTGCCCACTCCGAGGGGTCTGATGGTCTCATCCTCAATGTCTGCCCTGTATCTTCTAGGATACCCCATCACTCCAAAGCCACCATAGGCTTCATCGCATGCCCACCCCGGTCTTCACTCCAGCCACTCAACATTCCTGTGACCCCACCCTCTTCTGCCGAAAGTCTGAACCTGACCTTGGCCTGTCTCCTCTGAGATAAAATTGTCTCCATTGCCTAGGACAATGTAGTTACCAAGACTGTAAGAGCACAAAGCCTTTGTCCTCTTCCGAGCACTTTATGCAGACTAGGCCATGTCATCGTCACAGTGACCTTTGAAATAGACACAAGGAAAACCAGACCTCACAGCACAGGCCTGACGTCCCTGCTCCTGGGGAGGCTGGTAGGGCATGATTCCAAGTCAAGGACAGCCTGGGCTACAGAGGAAGTTTGAGGCCAGCCTAGGCAACATAATGAGAACCAGTCTCAACACAAGTTAGTGAGAGGGGATTGGGGGTGTAGGTAGCTCAGTGTTAGAGGACTCACCTGTCACACACAAAGCTATGGGTTCAATCTCCAGGACCGGACCGCAAACTAAAAAGAAAGGAAAGGAGGAAGGGGGAAGACGGGGGAGGGGAGGCGAGTATGAGGCATTGCTTTTACTTGCTCCCATTTGAGGCGGGAAACCTGTCTCACTGTCACAGCTCTGCGCAGTGGGGGACTTTCTCCAGCTCAGCAGACTTCCCACAGTTCCCCTGGGCTTTGCTAGTGTTCCCGGCTTGAGTCTGGCTGGAAAAACTCTGCAGTTTGTAAACTAAGGGAGAGGAGATGGTGGGAGAGGGAGGAGTCACCTCTGCGGCGGCCATCATCGTCCCTCCGCCCCTTCCCGAGCAGGGAGCGCTGAGTCCCGGTTATTAGCTATTGTCAAGAGTCTGCTGGTGGCCAGGTACTGCGCTCAGGGCAAGCCTGACTCCATGTCTCCTCCCCTCAGCCCTGCCCAGGAGTTGCCACCGGCAACCATCGCTATCCACAGCGAGGGAACGGAGGCTTTAGGAATTGAAGTCATTTTGCCCAGGCTCACACAGGCAGGACAAAAACAAAAAAACAAACAAACAACAACAAAAGGCAATGGTTTCGTCTTCATCAGGGTTTCTATTGCTGTGATAAACACCATGACAGAAGGGTTACTTGAGAAGGAAAGGGTTAATTCCACTTCTCCATCACACAGTCCATCATCCAAAAATGTCAGGGCTGTTCCCAAGGCAGGAACTGAAGCAGACGCCATGGAGCAACAGTGGCTTCACTGGCGTACTCCTTATGGCTTGCTCACCCTGCCTTCTTGGGACACCATCAGCCCAGGGCTGGGCCCCTCCCACATCAGTCGTCAGTCAACGGAAGTGTACCACAGGCTCGCCCACAGACCAATGCAGCGGGGACCTTTTCTCAAATTCCGTTTCCTCTTCTAAACTGACTTGAGCCCATGTCAAGCTGACATAAAACTAGCCAGCCGCAGGCTTCTAGGGCTCTTCAGCCAGGCCCCACTTCAGCATGCCCGATATCCCTGGAGACCTTGTTAAATTGAGTAATTCCTGTACTTGTTACTTTCCTCTTGCTGTGGGAAAACACTATGACCAAGGCAGCTTGCAGAAGGAAGAGTTTATTGGGGTTTATGGTTCCAGGAAGAGAAGAGCCCATTGTGGCAGGCAGGCAGGAGCAGAAGGCTGAGCGATCACATCTCAGCCGCAAGCGTGAAGCAGAGAGCAAGTGGGAGTAGCACCAGGCTTTGAACTCTCAAAGTCCAGTGCCGGGCGGTGGTGGTGCACGCCTTTAATCCCAGCACTCGGGAGGCAGAGGCAGGTGAATCTCTGAGTTTGAGGCTAGCCTGGTCTACAGAGTGAGTTCCAGAATAACCGGAGCTGCAGATGACGCCCTATCTCAAAAAATAAGCAAGCAAACACAAATGAAAACTCTCAGCATCCATCCCCAGTGACATACTTCCTCAAGCAAGGCTGTGTCTCCCAGAACCTCCCCAAACAGCACCACCAGCTGGGGTGCCAAGTGTTCCAATGCCTGAGATGATTCAAACTACTGTGACCTTGTTTGATTTGGGTTTTGGCTTTTGCAGTACTGGGGAATGGAACCCAGGATCTCAAACATGCTAGGTAACTATTCTCTACACCCCTTATCTTCAGCCTTAAACTCAGTCTGTAGCCCAGGCAGCCTTGAACTTGTGAAGCCGCTGCCTCAGCCCCTAGAGCAGCCGGGATGACAGGTCTGAGCTACCAGGCAGAGCTGGGTTCTACACCCCTAAGGTGTCCACAGGCTGTTGGCCCACAGCTCCCATCCTCAGTATAGGGAGGCAGGAATACACAGGTGTGTTTGGCAGCAGCTCCGTGCCTGGTTGTCTGTGGGGACAGGGTATCTTCTCTGTGGCTGTCTCTATAACAACCCATCACTAGGTAATGTGTACAGGGCTTGAGATCCTGAACTCTGGCGGCCTCGCGCAAGCTTTACCCTGCGGCTAACTGGGTTGAGCGTGTCACCAGTTTGTAAATGTGCCGGTCACGCCATCTGCCTCGGTCACCTCGGTTCAGGTCTGAAGACCCAGCTGGCAAAGAGCAGAGGTGGGAAATCGCAGCTAGAGAAAACCCATGTGGCGGGCTTGGGTCTGATCATCGGTGCGACAAGGTTCTGAGTGGCAGACTCCCCATCCTCACGATTCATTTGTACTGATATCAAGTCGTTAAATGATGACATGTTGGCCATCTGAAAAGATGGCCTCAAAGTGTTGCAGTCACTTAGAGAGGCTGCTGCTGCTGCTTGCAGGTGTACCTGGGATGGGTGGGAAAGATTTAGGTTGCATGTCTCACTGACTAGATAACCTGGAACACCAACCCCCCCCCCAGTTCTCTGGTGTAACACTTAACCCAAAAGCTTCTCAATTGGGTGAGATGTATAAGACACACAGATGGTGGGGCTCTCTTCTGTGAGGTGGTCCTTATACATGTAGGGAGGACTGGGCTGAGCAGGGATGCATCCTCCCTGTTGAGCCTGCCCATCTCTGTGATAGTAGACGTCCCCTGCATGGATGCCATCCTGCCTGAGAGAAGCATCTTTGTGATCTTTGTGTTATGTCATATCCAAACGGAGATGCGGTCATTTCTACCAAAAGCTCTGCATCCTCAGACCACCAGAGTGTGGTGTACAAGGTGTGAAGCCTTCCACCAGAGAACTAAAGGAAAGCCCAAGCCTTAAGGCTGCTCCCCTTGAGACAAGAATGAAGGTAATGTGGACAAGAAGACAGGCGGTTGACCAGATGTCCAGCCGGGATGCCTACTAGGCTCCCACTCAGCAGCCAGCACATGGCATATGGAGGAACTGAAGCAGAGCACTGTGCACTTTCATGTAGATGCAGTGTGGGAGGTATAGCCTCTCTTCCAAGGAAGCCACAATCCTTGGGTAACAGTTGGATGCCAGTTGGGTTGGTTCAGCCATGGTAGTAAGCACAACAGACTGCAGAGGCTGCCTGAAGGAGCCAAGGGGACACGAGTGGAATTCTCTTCTCAGGAGAGTCCAGGTGAGTGAGAAACCAGTGTTCAGCCAGGAGCAACAGTCCAGATTCAGCAAATGTCTTGTTGAATAATCTTTACCATCTGTCCCCATTATACACTTGTGGAAACTGATGTACAGAGAGCAGAAATGACTCCATGGAACACCCTGGAAGACACCATAGAAGGGGGCACATTTGGGGGGGTCCTCAAACAGTGGATTAAAGCTTCCTCTGATAGAGAAGGAAAGGGCACCCAGACTTGAGACACATTACCGAGGAACCTGGAAAAAAATCTAGACAAGGAGAGCTAGACCTGAGGAGGTCTGGGTGCACGTCGGGAGGAGTGACAGGCATGTCTTTCTGATGCCAAGGTGCCTTCTGAGGACTGGGGTGGCTGCACACAGGTTTCTGACTCTCATTTGGAACGTCACTTCTGCAAGGACTCAGTTTAACCTAACTCCTTCCTCCTCTGGCCCCTCACCCCTTTCCTGCCTCCTGGCTCTAAGATTCTTGACGTCTCTGCTGCCTTTGCCCTGACTCCAAAGCACCCTTGACTCCCATACCTGGGATCTGCTTCAGCCAAAAACAACTCAGAAAGGTGTGTTGTTGTCCAAGTCCCTAGCTCACAGCCAGCTTAGCATGAGTAACCTGGGTAAAGAAGTGAATGGTCTTTTCAGGAATGGAGGGGGAAGAAACAAGACTCCCATTTGCTGAGTTTCTTGAGAAGCCGCACAGAACACTTTTCTTTCTTT